AATTTAATGAAAAGTAAATATTTAAATTTATATTATCGGGCTGAAAGTGTTTAATGATATAAAATTTTAATTTTTAAATTAAGAATAATAAGGATAACAATAATTATAGTTCAAAGTTGATATCGAAAAGCCTTGACGTAAAACCTTAAGAATTGACAGAAAAAATTTTCAAGGTGGAATAACTAAATTTTAAATTTTAACGTAAATGTGTGAGAGTTGACGTGACAAGTCAATTAAGTAAAAATAATGTAAATTTAATGAAAAGTAAATATTTGAATTTATATTCTCGAGCTGAAAGTATTTAACGATATAGAAATTTTAATTTTTAAATAAATGATAGTAAGGATAAAAATAATTAAAGTTTAAAATTGACTTGAAAAAGCCTTGACATAAAACTATAAGAATTGAAGTAAAAGTTTGTAAATGTGGAATAATTAAATTTTAAATCTCAACGTAAATGTGAGAGAGTTGACGTGACAAGTCAATTAAGTAAAAACAATATAAATTTAATGAAAAGTAAATATTTAAATTTATATTCTCTGGCTGAAAGTGTTTAATGATATATAAATTTTAATTTTTAAATAAAAGATAATAAGGATAAAAATAATTAAAGTTCAAAATTGACATGAAAAAGCCTTGACATAAAACTGTAAGAATTGACATAAAAGCTTGTAAAAGTGAAATAATTAAATTTTAAATCTTAACGTAAGTGTGTGAGAGTTAACGTAACAAGTGAATTAAGTAAAAACAATGTAAATTTAATGAAAAGTAAATATTTAAATTTATATTTTCAGGTTGAAAGTGTTTAACGATATAAAAATTTTAATTTTTAAATAAAAGATAACAAGGATAAAAATGATTATAGCTCAAAATTGACATAGAAATATCTTGACATAAAATTGTAAGAATTGATATAAGAACTTGTAAAGGTGGAATAACAAAATTTTAAATCTTAACGTAAGTGTGAGAGAGTTAACGTAACAAGTCAATTAAGTAAAAACAATATAAATTTAGTAAAAAGAAAATATTTAAATTTATATTCTTGGTTTGAAATGTTTAACGATATAAAAATTTTAATTTTTAAATAAAAGATAATGAGGATAAAAGTAATTATAGTTCAAAATTGGCATGAAAAAAACATTGACGTAAAACTATAAGAATTGATATAAAAACTTGTGAAGGTGGAATAACTAAATTTTAAATCTTAACGTAAGTGTGTGAGAGTTAACATAACAAGTCAATTAAGTAAAAACAATGTAAATTTAATGAAAGAAAATATTTAAATTTATATTTTCAGGCTAAAAGTGTTTAACGATATAATATTTTTAATTTTTAAATTAAAAATAATAAAGATAAAAATTAATTATAATTTAAAATTACTATTAGAAGAGTTTAATGTAAAATTGTTAGAATTGACGTAAAATCTTATGAAGGTGTAATAAACAAATTTAAAATCTTAACGTAAATGTGTTAAAGTTAACGTAATTAGTGATAAGAATAAATTTTATTAAATTAAATTAATTAGATATAATTTTAATTTTAAAATAATAATATTTTTATAATTTGTAGTAAAAAATAAAATAAAATTAAAAGTTAAATCACTTAAAATAAACTAAATAAGTTTTAAAATTATCTACGTTACTATCTTAAATTGGATAAGTTTAAAAGTTATATATGTTGTTTACCTGTTAACTTGTTGTACATGTTTTTATTATTTTCTAAAAGTTTTATTAATTAACCTTACAGTATGGTTAAAACTTATTGTAATATTCACCCAAAATTTACAAACAGTCATTTTATGTCTAGCAATGAACAGCTAACACTATGTTGTCCAAAAAACATGACAAAGTTTGATTTGTACAAGCTATTTCAAAGTTAATTTTTTTGACAACATGACAGAAGTAGGATGGCATTTATCAAACAACAAAAAGTGATCTCACAACACTGATTTTAGATCTTCAACAACATTTGTCTCCTCCAAATCTAGCACTGGAACAATATTAAATAATTGTCACAAAAAATTAATTTTATAATTCGGTGAGAAGATTGGAAAAATGGGATAATTTCTACAAAAAAAGAAGATTCACCTTTCCAAATTCCCTCTCACTTCGGTATTGGGAAGGGAGCAAACTCAATTGTAAACTGTGGTTAACTTTGAAAAAACACAATGACTGAAGAACAACTCAGATTCCAGTCCCACGTTATAAAAAAAAAAAAAAAAAAAAAAACCTCAGGATCTCTCTATTTGCCTTTTAAATTTAAAGGGTGTTTTGGACTTTTCATGAAAATTTAAAAATTTTAATATTGTAATTCGTAAAAGACAAAACTAACAAAATTTCAGTTTGTTTTTATTGTCCAAAACCAAATCAATTGAATTAATTCGATTTTTTATTAATTCAATCATTTTTTTAAATTTGATTGGTTCGATTTTCTCTTTAAGTTTGATAAATTCGATCAATTTTTTTAAAAAAATTCATTTCATTTGATTCTTAATTATGAAAAACCAAATTGATCAATTGTTCACCCCTAATGCTTTATCGTCATTTCTCGCCAATATAGATGGGAAAAACTTAAGTACTATTTAAAAAAAAATTATGTCATTTTATCAACTCTCATTCCATAGAAGGTAATTTATTTGTTATTTTTTACAAACGTATATTTTCAAATCATAAATTAATAGAATATCATGGTGGTTGATGTTCATCGGATACTGGCTTTTTCTTCTTTTTCCTTTCAGTCAATACAAATAGATTAGAAACAGAAGCATACGGTAGTTGAAAAATGAGAATCATTGCTTTCCGAATATTCCTAAACATTTCTTCATCAACAAAGAATCCTAATTGAAGGATAATTTGTTCATAATCCTGGCAGATTGAACATCAATATGTACGAAGAGGAACAAATCAAATACAATCTTAACATTTTTTGCAATGGTAATCCGCTCTTCTGTTTCTATACATCAAGTTAATATCGGACTATCAACCAAATCTTTCAACTCTTCTACGCCGTAATTCTTCCAGAGGAAGATCACGAAAGCCACGAGACGCTTGACCTGATAACCCACCATTGCTGGTTCGAGTCGTTCCACACATCTCACAAGTTCTTAACCAACCGGAATTATCATATGTACATGCTTGGCATCTCCATATGCCAGACGCATTTCCTGTCCGTCTCCCACCAACAGTTCCCCTGCCAGAGATTCTCCCTCTCCTTAACCGAAACATGTCCCTTATAAACCTTAGAGGCCACCTTAACACACCACAGACCCCTCTGATTATTGCAGTCAATGGGTCTGAACCAGAATATGATCGCTTCATTTTCAAATAGAGAAGCCCAGCAAGAATACCACCCAGGTGGCCAAGAAATGATACGCCAGGGACAAACATCTGAATAAGAATCAATTCTGCCCACGCCCCATATCGTGCCGGTACAATCAGTCCATACACATTAGTGTAGTTTTCTGACTGAGAATTGAGGACAACTTTCAAGGCAAAGAGGACACCAGAAAATCCAACAGCATATTGGGAGTAATAGGGTCTCTCGTAATCAAGGAACAGGAGGAGGGATTTGGCTAGTAACAAAGTAATACCTTGTGACATACCAACAAGTGCAATGACCATAGATGTAAATTCAGAGCTCCCCATAGAAGTTTCCAATTGGATCCCCTTCCATAAGAGTGACATCATGTTGAAAACTAGGTGAGATTCACTGACATGGTAGAATGGTGACAGGAAGAAGCGTTTCATGTCTTTGTACTGCACAATCATATTAAAAATAAAAATTGGTTACTAAAGAATTACTTCAGATCAATATGGAATATTTAAGTGCCTAATATAGCTAAGATACCTCATACGGTAAAACTAGGAATCTGGAGAATAATATAAGCCACCGCGATCATTGAGTATAGAGAATTTTAAGCTCTTGCTTTAATTTCTTCCCAATTTCCTATATTTTTCCTTGTGTTTCTTCAGAATCTTCCTCTTTTTCTTTGATCAATCTCTATTTGCTCACTTTCTTTCACTCTTTCCCTCCCTTTCCTAGTCGTCGCCATCATTATTGAGTTTTCCTTAGCTGCTATGAAATTATGCACACTAAAGACTAGTTGAGTGATTTTGGCGTTATGGGATTAATCCTATATCAAACCCTATCTTAGATGAGTCCTGATTATCTCGACCTAGATGAATTATCATAATCAACTTGTTCAATTAATGGAATACTCAAGCTTCCAATTCCATCGAACCCAATAGGAAAAAGAAAAAACCACCTCTCTATTACATCCCAGCATCTGAAATTAACCTAAAGAACCCAAAACTAATTCCACTGCTTAACCAAATCTTTAATATGCTTTGGTGATTTAGAAAAAACCAAATACTATAGTTGCAATAGGGAGAGTAACACAATTAGTAGCAAGGCTGAAGCAGATCAGAAAATTATGGGAAAGAACATAGAAGATTACCTTGAGAATGCGATGAGGATTGAACCAAACCTCATCGATAGTAGGGAGGAGAGCATCGAGCAAAGAAGGCCTGAGGTAGACGAGTGTGTTGGCAGCGAGAAGGCCCGCCGTGACAGGGGGCTTCCACGGCAGTCGGTGGTATTCGTTAACGGCGTGAAGACCCAGCAGCGGCAGCATTCCCCAAGAAACCCCCCTTCCTCTTCCCCATCTTCCACTATCCATACTGTTTCTTTCTTAGAGTTGTATTCCAAATTCCAAATTGCAATCGCCACTTCACTTAATCACTGCTAAGGAAAAGAAAGGCATACAACTTATAACGCAAGGAAGGAACTAAGGAAGAAGAAGGTCCTGCGATTATGCTTGCCCTTTCCAGACTCTTCCTTGGGTTTACTTAGCCTCCATCCATTTATTTAACTCTCTTTTTATTATTATTATTGTTATTTTTGTAAATTGAGCTCGGATGTTCAAAACGCTGCGTTTTGCTCTTCGAATTTCAAATATCTTTTCCCTGATTTCACCCAAAATACAACTGGCCTGCTTGTGAAAAATGGCAACGGCAGCAATGGGTGGTGGATTTGTGAATATGATGAAATGTATACATCATATGGTGACGAGTAACGGCGTTGGCGTTGTGGGTAAGGCGGTATGCGCATCCTCGTCACGCTATTTCCATTTCCAGTCCGTGTCCCTTCAAAGTAGAGGAGGAGGAGGATTACAATTATACTGCTGCAGCAGCGGGGGAAGCGGCGGCGGCGACGACTATAGTGATGGAAATACTAACGGTTACTTAAAATTGAGGGATGAAGAGCTGATGAAACAATGCGAGATGAACACCTTCAAAGCGTCGGGACCAGGAGGACAGCACCGTAACAAGAGAGAGTCCGCCGTTCGTCTCAAGCACCTTCCCACCGGTATTGTTGCTCAGGTGTGCTCAACTATTTTTTTTTCTTTTGCTTTTTGATTTTCTTATAAAAGAGAAAGAAAATAAATTTACATAAATAGCACTATCTATGTAAATTGTGGCACCATTATTAGCCAATCGACGTGAAATAGGCCATGGAGGACCGATCCCAGCACATGAATCGTGCATCTGCCTTAGCACGCCTCCGCACTCTTATTGCTCTCAAAGGTATTTTTTTTGTCTATGGATGCAAGCCTTTGCCCTCACTTTGCTTCTTCAATGCAAATTGCTTAGTGATTGGGTATTTCGCAGCACCTCAACTGAACTTGCCTTCCATTTGCCCTTTTGTCTTTGTGATACTATGGTATATTGTTTTTGCTAATTGAGGCAGTCAGGAATCCAGTCCATCTCCACACATATTCTCCTCCTCCGGAGCTTCTTCAGATTCTTCCTCCCAAGTCAACAATTAGGGGATCAGATTCTGGTCCTCAAATTGGACCCAAAAATCCTAAATTTGTTCTGGTATGCATCTATATGCGCGTGTGTTCTTTCGTCTTCCTTCTTCCCACTTTTTCGCTTTCTTCTTTTTTTTGTACCCAGCTTAATTCATTCTAGATTACACAGTGGTGAATTATAGTATCCTTTTCGTCGTCTACAGGGAATGCAGGCTTTGCTGGATCTAATCTTTGCAGTTGAAGGTTCTGTATCAGATGCAGCAAAGTTTCTGGGGTGCGTCACGTTAGGCTCCATTTTTACTTATAATAGAACAAGCGTCTGTTACTTCCATTAACATACTTCTGTTGGCAATCTATTTGATTCTTCTATTGTGCCTATGGTCTCTACTGGTAATACAAGAAGGAGTCAAAATCTATCTTCTGTTTTGGACATTATACTGGCCATCCCTTAATGAATATAATGAACTTCTAGCTCTCGTATAAGGAGAAAAGTTGTAGGATACATCTACAAAGAAAGAAAGAAACTTTTCATCCTCATACACTTGTATCATGAGAGAGTTTCTGTTGACTGTGAGTTCTTAGAATTGCAAAATTCAAGTTTCTGCAAGTTATTCCTTGCTGCTCCTCCAATGAGTTGCTTGATATGTCCATTAGCATACAGACCACCTTACAGTTGTCCCTGCCTAATTTTGCAGAATGAGTACAGGGGCGCTGTCGCGGTTAATACTATCAGATGATTCTCTTCGTATGGCAGTAAATGAGCTGAGGACTTCCAAGGTAGAACACTTAACCATTATAAGAGCTATGGTTTTAGTTTTTGTCTTTGTTTACTTTTATCAGGGAAATAACTTGTAGAGTTAAAAGAAATGGGGCATTTTCATTTGACCATGCAATATGCTAGTATTCTGTCCATCATACTTGGTCATCCTTTTTGCTTGGGTCCCAACCTTTCTCAATCCTATTTCTATAGAAAGATTATCTTGTCTCACCATGCATCTTACAACATTCCAATTTTGAACGTTACCTTTTGATTGCCTATCAGGAATAAAGCATGCATACTTCTGAACGTTGAGGTGTGCATTTGCCTGACATATCATTACATGTCTGCTGCTAATTGAAACTTCATAACTTGGAAGGATTGAAATTTGGCTAACTTTATTTTGTCTTTGATTGAGAACAAGCTACAACGATTGTATGGGATTGGCTAACTAGAGTCTTTATATTTATATGCTTACAATTAAATAGTTGTTCTTGATTATTTTCGCCCTTACCTTCTGAAATCTTCCTTTTCATGCCTTGTTGTGCTGGCTTCACCACGTAATAGAGTTTGATGGCTTAATGGTTCATTTATTTTAATATTGTCCGATGGTAAACATTTCTTGATCTGGTTACAGTATCATTTTTGTTGGCTTAGTTGTTAGAGTATCATTAAAAGAATTTCTTTTTGTCATTGAATTACATTCTTCCGAACATCTTAATTTTATAGTAATAAACTGTAACAGAATGAATTATAATTTTATTGGTTCTCCATAGGGTATGAAGCCGCTGAAGTAGCACTGTCAACCATGGATGCTAATTATTGCACTACATAATCAGGTATAACAATTTCTTTTTATTTATTTTTAAATAAATGATGCAAAAGACAGAAGTTGTTTGCTACCTAATATCCACATTCAACTTTTAGGTCATAGTCCAAAATTGAAAATAATATTTCTTTCAGAGGTGATTTTTTTTTTAATGTTCTTTTGGTTACATTTATTGAGTTGCATTCTTTAGTATACAAATTGAAAATTCTTGAATTAAGAGTATCAGGACATCTGGTGGTTTTAGTTTTGATCTTGGCTGTGTAGTGCTTTCACATTTGTGTGCATCTCCGACGCCATACACTAGTGCTAAAAGCATGTATCATGATCATGAACTTTTTGAATCTCACATACATACTATATAATGAAACAAATGATAGCCATAATCATGATAAATATTCCTTTATGATATTAACGGCAATTTATACTAAAATAAATGTAATCCTTTTTTTTTTCTTTTGGATGATTGAAATCTTTATTCATCATCCAAAAGAAACTGGAGTGTCCTGCTACAGGAGAAACAATAGGCGAAAGGCATACAAGTAAAGACTAACCCACTACCCAACTGTACTCATTCCCCAGCTTCTTCATAAAGTAGCATACAATACATTAGAAGTGATATTTTGTAAGAGCTAAGTCGAATTCTGATGTCTTCAGATAAGCAATTGAAAAGCACTTCAGGGCCCTGAGACCTAGATGTGTGCTTCTTGGCAATTTGGTCCTCCAAAAATAAGCAGCCCAAGCTAAGCGTAGCAAGATAGAAGGGAAAGATTTCCCTCTCAAAGCAGCAACAATCCAGTCTTATTCAACATTCCAATCCATTGGTGCTCTTGTTTTGTTCTGTTGCTAGTGATGGTGTTTTATGCTGGTTGTTTGTTGATTTCTTTATGGCTTGGGCTTGTCAAGGTGCTGTTCCCTCTCCCGTGCTGGTTTGGAAAGTAAGTTCAACACCAATGGATTTAAAGGGATCAGAGTTCCTTGTTTTTGTTTGGAGCACCCTTGTCTCGGTACTGTTATTCTTGTTCTTTTTTGTTTTAATCTATTAGCCTTAGGAGTAGTCTTAGGCTGATTGCTTTCTGTTTCATGCACTCAGTTTTTTGTTTTTAGGCAGCTTTGAGTTCTTTAGCTCTTGGTGGCTGATTGTTGTGGGTCTTCTGCTAATCCATGCGAGCAGATGAGCCCTTGAATTGTGCAGCTTCATTTGTCAAGCGGGCCTTCCAATGGGAGTATCTGGCAACTTCAGCTCAAGACTAACAATGGCGTACTGGTGTAGGACTAATAAAATACACTATTCAAAAAAAAAAATTCAAAGCATTTCAATCTTCAGAGCTTTCTAAATGCCTGGAACTTGAGAAATTCTAGGCCATAACAACTTCCGAATATTTGCATGTAAAGAACCATTGATCCCTGCTTTCCTCAGCCTTGAAAAGATAACTAGTGGTCTGGATGAAATCCCCCATGCTTTAGTTTGTCCAATATTGTCAACCATGCAATAAAAGAAAACTTCGGCACGTGTAATGGAAACCAGATGAGCTTATGCGGTGGGACCTTATCTTTGTTTACCCCTTAGGCATTGCCAAGTTCTGATGTTGTAAACTTCCTAGAACTCGAGGCTAAACAGAGCACTTCATCTTGCTTATCCCCATTAGGCTCTATGGAACCACAAAGACCAACTAGAATCTGCAGTAATTCAGGACATGTTGCAGGAGGCCAAAACCAAAGATTATTTCTAATGATACCAACAAGCCGTGGCATTTCCTGGCAAAGCTTAGTTGGCTATGATCTTTTTCCAGAACCTACTCAGCAAGGGTCCGCATGGATGCCAATTATAATGCCAAAGGAAATTACGTTTGTTTTCCATTGCCAATCAAATGCTAAATCAAAGGCTTAGCATGATCTCTCAGCTTAAGTAACTTTTGCCAGTTCTACCAAGGTAAGCTTGGAGGTTTAACCTGCCAAAACCTCAATTGTTTTAGCAGATAAGACTGCCGGCGGCCAGGCCATCCAAATCGATCCAGATTGGCTGAGTAGAGACCGAGGATGCTCGGGAATGCAAGCAGTATTCCAAACCTTCAGACGATGAAATCCTAATTAACCTTACCACCTCAAGCATTATGCTCCTCCCTTCCCATAAAAAGGCTGAGCAAAGCTGATTTACTCTCTTAATAACTTTGCCTAGAAGGATGAAAACTGAGCACCAAAAATTCTGCATACTAAACAAGACTGACGATATGAGTTGTACCCTACCCGCATAGGAAAGTCTTCTGGAGGTCCAGCGATTATATCAAGCAGTAATTTTCTGCATGGGAGCTCATAATCTTTATCAAATAATCTGCCTGGGATGAGGGCAAATCCTAGTTATCTGACTAGTAAGGAGCATAACTGAAACCCGGTAGATTGCTGTATCAGTATGCACATTGGCTGTGATCAGTTCAATTTAGGTGCTGTTGAGTTGCAAACCTACATAGAGTAAAACAATTGCATAATATTGGAAACCCACATGACAAAGGTTGCGGTGCCTACCATGATGTTAAATGTGTAAATATAAACCAAAATATTTAGCTTTTGTTTACAATACTTTACAACAGCTTTACTCTGAATACTACTTCTGACAGAAACTCCAACTATGCCAAGCATGCTCTGCATCAAATATTGTGTCAAAAGTACATGGAGAATACCAGTGGTATATTGGCCTCCAAAATGGCATTTGGTAATTTTATTGCCAGCAATAGGAATTTTGACCCCAGAAATCGTCCAAGTTGAAGTGGGGAATATCTCACATCAAGAAATTGCTAGCTGTCCTATCACTTAAGTCTTCTGGAGGATTTACATGACATCCAATACATGTTAGTTTATTGATGTGTTCTATTTCATCTACTGCTTGGTTGCTTTAATTATTTGAGGAAGAAAATAAAGCTCCATTGGAGTCAGCTTTAAGACACAGGAAGCAGATTGCCAGGTGAAGATGAGGCATTTCATTTTTCTCTTGAAAACTATGGAGATATGACCGACTACATGGTCAGGGAAGAAACATGTTTGCTAATTGCTGGAGCAAAATAATGACCAAAGTTTCCACTTTTTCTGTGGCACTGCAGGTCATAAAGAAGCGATGGAGAGAAAGTTGCATGATTATGATGATTGATGGAGGGCGGGGCCTGGGGCTGGAGAAAAAGGCGACTTTCCAAAGTCAAAATTGTTTATATACTCTTGACGCTGCGAATGGCTGGAGAGTTTGATGCAGAAGAATCCTATTCCTGAAGAATGAGGTTCTTTCCGCCCGCCCGCCCACCCACCGCAAAACCCCTTTTGTGCCTCGTTGACTCTTTGGAGTGGTAGTTTATTCATTTATATCCAGACCCAAAACAAGTAGCGGGAGAGAGAGAGAGAGAGAGAGAGCCTTGTAAGGCACTCTTTCTTATTCCTAACAATCAAATCATAGTTGAAAAGGGAGAATGTTGAATGTTGATCAACACTATCTCTCAAATGAGAAAAGAAGAGAATCCGAGGCTTTTAGTGGTGTGGCCAATGGCCAACATCTCTCCCTCTCTCTCAATATTTTCCAGGAGCTTATGGTTTATCTTGGGGGACGGGTGCTGCTATTAGTACGTGTATACATGCTGCACGATGTAAAATCTTAGTAATTCTTTTTCAAGAGGGGCCTCTTTTAAGGGATCCTAGAACCTATCCAATGATACATTAACCCTAACAATCCTAGTTGCTACTCATTTTTTCCATCTTGACTTGATGTGAGCTCAAGTGATGAGGCCAGGGCAAGTTATTCAGATTAAAATCATCACAGGGGAAAACAGACTGTTCCATTATTGTTTTCTGTACTTTGTTTTGTTCGGTGAATGCCAGTTTGACATTGGAGTATTTAAAATCTAGCTAGAATCGATTCCTCATGGCTGCTTAATTTTCAAATGGCCTCTGCTTTTTCCTTTCTATCTATATAAATCTGCCTCCTCTCAAGCCTTTACCTACAGCCTTGGCCTTCATAGTAATCAATAGAAAAAGAATGGTGGTGGACATGCAGGGCAAGCTTCGCCTAGCTCTTGGCTCGGTTAAGGACCATGCATCAATTGGTAAGGCCATGATTAATTACAACCATGATGGCAAAGGGTTTTCCGACATAGAGATTGCAGTGCTGCGTGCCACTGGCCATGATAACGGCCCCATAGAGGACAAATACATGCATGAGATCCTCTTCCTTGTCTCAAACTCCCCAGGATCCATCCCTTTTCTTGCTGAAAGGATTTCACGCCGCCTCTGCAAGACCAGAGACCGCCTGGTCGCCCTCAAAACTCTTTCGCTCATTCATCGTCTCTTCCGCGGCGGTAGCCGCTGCTTCGAGCAAGAGCTACGTAGGGCACATGTTTCCGGCCATCTCCAAATGAGCACCCAGTGTTTTCGCAAGAACTCATCAGACCCTTATTCGTTTTCATTCCTCCATAGCTATGCAGCTTATCTCGAAGAACGAGTGGGATGGGCCATTAACCAAGCAGGAAAACTAGAACCCGTCATGTTCAATGGCCTGGAGTTTCGATGTTATGAGCAGAAGTCTGTTGATATGGTGTATCGAAAGTTGCCCAAATGTCAAGCGTTCATAGATAGAGTCTTGGATTGTCAACCTCGTGATATTTTGCCTGCAGACAACTTGGCCCAAGCAGCCATTGGCCATACCTTGAAAGAGAGCTTCCAAGTTTACATTATGTATTGTGAAGGCATTGAAAATCTTGTCAACATGTTTTTTGATTTGACAATGGCAGCACGAAGTTTGGCATGCGACATACTCAAGAGGGCTTCTCGCCAAAGCAAAGAGCTTCATGATATGTATGAGAGTTGCAAACGAATTATTGAAAACAAGAGTCTGGAGTATCCCAGTGTGCGGATCATCACCATGGATCATGTTTTGGCATTGGAGCGTTGCTCCAACTTCATGTCAACAAGTTCATCATCATCAATAATGTGTAGGACTGTGGCCTCAGCACCGATTGGTAAAGAAAGCGAAAAGGAAGAAAATGGTGATATGAGTTGTTCGTCATCAACTCCATTTTCATGCACTCTGGAAACCAAAATAAGCAAGGTTTGGGTGGTTTTTGAAGAAGATTATGGTGACTCGCAGGTGGCCATGGATGCTGTATGATGGTGATCCTTATCCTTCTGCTCCGTTTAAGGTTAGGAAAGGTTGTCAATAGTAGAGAGATCAATCAAACTATCAACCCTTGAAGTGAGGAAGTAAAAGTTAAGAGAGAGGATTCAAACCTTCCTAAGGAGAGATGTCATGACCATTCAACCTATCTTGTTAAACCAATTACAATTCTTTCAAAGATTTAAAGTTATCCAAAATTCTTAAAATCTTATTATAATTCAACTTGAATATGCAATAAACATTTCATCTCAAAATAATTAATTTAATAAATTTTATCCTTAAGTTATCTTTATTTTTTATATTAATGACAATCATGTTTAACTAGAAGAGATTAGCCTGTCACTTACATTTACATTTTGCTTATTTAATTGTTTCAAAAGATGTTAAAAGAGATTTTAAGGTGATATTTTACTTTCTCTTATTTAACGATTAGATAATATAAATCTTGTTGGGTAATATTTCATGATTTTGGGGCGATACCCTTTAATTTAGTGATTAGAAAACTTGACTTGTTCATGATCCCTGATAGCTTGATCTACAAGAAAATCGACCATCATATTGTCCTTGTTTGCTTTTTGAGTTACATATACGATATCATATTCGCAGAACAAAACCTGTAACTGAGCTATTCTCCTAGACAATGATGGCTTCTGAAAGAATTGTAGTTAATGAGATCCATTCTCATTACCAACCAACCAAGTTGTATGATATAACATATATTGTTTGAGTCCATGAGTTGTCTGGGTCAAATGATGAGTACTTGAACTCATAATCAGTTTTTCTTGTTTAACCAACCTTGACAAGTAAAGGGATCCGCATTTCCTTCATTCTCAAGTTCACCAAACTACTTGTTTTTTGAAAAATAAAAACTCAAATTGTTATCATAATTTTCTTTATATTCATAGTTTAGAAATTTAGAAATAAGTAAGATTTGAAGGGATATTAATATATATATATATATATATATATTTCAAAGATAGAAAAGACATGATAGGTGTGAAGAATATTTAAATTTACTAGAATAAACAAAAAAAAAAGATCATTAATAATAATACATGAAAGACTTTCCTTGTGGTGATGTGAGGAGGTCCCAAGTACACCAAGGGTGCTTCCTTGTGGTTGTCTCTGGTTCCATTCCTTTGAAGGAAGCAAGTCAACAGAGCAGGTAAAAGTCTATTCCATTCCATTTTGTTACATCTTCCATGTGACCTTTATTAAAATTTAACAAGGCAAATGCCCTCTCATATCCTAACATCATTCATAAACCATTTTAATATACACATTCATAAACCCTACTATGTACACTAACATCATTGATATCCCATACTATTGCTCCACCTTAAGTTCACACACATGATAGACCCTAACACCATTGATTAAACATTCATATCAAGCAAAATGTTACAATAAATTACTACCAAATTTGTATAATTTCATTGACCAATACCTCTTCCTCGAATGGGACAAAATTTTAAACAAGATACTGCTTTTTGTATTATTGTTACATTTTTTTTTTATTATTAGAGGAAGCGGAATTTAAATCCTATAAGTAAGGAATCATGCACCAAACAATGAGCCAAACGCTCAGGTGCGTATTATTACTACATTTTCATTTTCCCTCTCCTTTTCTTTTATCTTTTTCCACTCAAGTATGGAACCAAAATCTATGTTGTTACAAGATAAATGCAGCTATGAATGATTATTATCTTTACAAATAACAGAAATTTAGCACAGTACAGCAATATCTGCGGTGGTAAAAATATTACAAGCTGATGGCCCTTGATGAAACCTCAGATTCACCCTCCTGCAGCTCCCCTTCTACTGATGCAAGGTTTTCCTAAAAACAAGTACAAGCGCAGTTCTGAGAATTACCAAATAATGTCTTAATGATGCCAAAATTGATTCCATAAGTGACTTAACACCAAAGTAACTACAGTAAATTATGTCGGGGCTTTCGATATGAAATTATTTTTTCCCTGGGCAAGGATGCTTTTTCCTACATTAGATACACTACTATAAGAGCATCTTAGAAGCCAGTTGTGTCAATGAATAGCCGTTGATATATGATCAAAAAGACGCAGATAATATGCACAAAGTCTAATGCATATTTATTATATGCAAAAACATACCGCAGAATCTTTCAACTTGGCTTCAGCAAAGTAATTCTCCAAAGCACCATCTCCACGAAGAATCTTCCCTCCACATCCGGGGATATTTGTTGAACCCACTGACTCCTCATCAACCACAACAGCATCTACTCTATTGTTTCCAGTCTTTGCATCTGGAATCTGAAACATGCACGTGTCAGAATGCTTTAGACCATGAAGCTTTTAGTTTCATAACAATACATCTATGCCGGAATCATATGCTTGATCCCAATTCATTCAAAACTTAGTATGACCCTCCAATACCTCATACATGGCTTCAGTAAGAATGCCTTCCAGTATAGCTCTTAAACCCCTGGCACCAGTATTCTTAGCCATTGCCTTTTTGGCAATTAGTCTCAATGCTTTAGATGTAAAATGTAGCTTCACCTGAAATTAGAGAAGCAATTATGTAATGGTCAGAGATCTAATTCAAATTAACATAATATTTATCACGTAGAGGGGGAGATCAGAGAGAACATGAACAAGCAGAGGCAACTTACCTTGTTCATGCTAAATAACTTCCTGTACTGCTTTCCAAGAGCATTTTTTGGTTCTGTGAGCACCTGTAGCACAAATTTTTCTCAACAACTAGTAAACATAAAAGGAAAATATTGATTAATTCATAGTTGTTAACAGGTTTACTCTAAAGCCCAGTTTGATCAACTGATGCAGAATGCAAAGAAGCAAAGACTCAAGCATAAAGACAGCCTTTTTAATGCCTTTAACTTGAATAATTTGCAACAATTAACTCTCAACCCAACTCAACAAAGGCATAATCCAAACTAATTGGGTTCCACTACAGGATTCCATTTTCTACATTCCCTTTAGTTAAAGGGCTATATCCTCCAAAGATGTAAAGCACTGTGAAATCGTTTTTATCACTTTTACCCAAAAATTTTGGTCTACCTCTTACCTGTTCTCATTCTTTCTACTTGGAGAAAAACATTTTTGCGTACCAGTAATCCTAGGCTGACAGTGCACATGATCTAACCATCTATGTCGTACTTCCCTTATTTTATCAAGTAATAGCAACCCTACTTTCTTACAAATAACTGATCACTTCCTGACATATTTTTGTCCAAACCTGACATTTAATTTTACACAAACTGACTGTTTCCCATACCATTTGCAAACGATCAGAGCTATCATCAGCCTTGCACTTCCTTATCATGAACAGTTGTTACATTTTTTTTTTAAGGGGTGCAACACGAAGACTTCCCAGGAGGTCAGCCATCCTAGTACTACTCTCGCCCAAGCACGCTTAACTGCAGAGTTGTGATGGGATCCGGTGCATTAGTGCTGGTATGATCGCATTGCATGTTAGGATTTTCATCATCTTTCCATAAACAGTCGGGAAAGAACAGAACAATAATATAAATCTTAGAGATAGCACAATGGTCCCTATCATATACCTAAAAGGATTAAACTAACAGGAAAAACATGCACACACATGCACACCAAAGAAAAAAAGTGAAGAAATATTACCTGCATAAGTTGATCTTCAGTTAAAGCCGACAAACTAACTAATATTGGAAACCGCCCTATAAACTCTGGTATGAGGCCATATGCAATAAGATCCGAACTCTCAACCTGAAATGAAAATGTAACTTACAGGTTCATCTCAAGGAAAACTTTAGCAATGGCTATCCTTTTCAGGAATATCGGGGAGAGCATATTACATATTTATTTAGGTTGTACTATCATTAGAGAGAAAGAAGTAGGCAATAAAATTTATATTTCTTTTTTTTAGTAACTTCTTATGGTCTTTATTCTCACCGATTCAAGCAAAGACGATGTCACAGCAGCATTTGTTACCCCAGTGGCCCTCATATTAGCTCGAACAGGTGCTCCAAAACCAATTGAAGAATCTTGCCGTCTGGTTAACAACACAATATGTTTAAACTCCCTCAAACTGAACGAATACCATTTGACAGAGAATTCTTATGGTAAAATATTTTAAGGCTTTACCTCTCTGAAATTGTTTTATCAAGATCAACAAATGCTCCACCACAAATGAAAAGGATGTCTTTTGTATCTATCTGCAGATTATTTACATCCATTTAATAGTAGTAGCAAAAATTAACTATTCTGAAAATAATGGTTCTACCTTAAAATGAATTACTTATTCCTAAGTTCAAACTAAAATCTTTTCTACAACGAAAATACCAAATCAAACATATAATGACAAACTTTAAAAGTCAAAAGAGTAGAAAAATAAACTGTAGTTGTATTGCACGTATTTCATAGACCTTTTATTTCTTAATTTTTTTGATCAACACCTACTACATGAACAAATCTTCAAAAACAGGGAGGAAAAGAGAAATTTAAACAAAAAGCTAAAGTTGACAAACGAAGAGCAGAGCAGTGCCAACAAAAACTGTATAGGATGTAGGTACTATCATTTTTTACTTTTGTTTCTTATAAACTACTAATGAAACTGTAGAAGTTTTCATTCAACATCCAAAGAAACATAATAGTCAAATTGTATACCTAAATTTTTCTTATGAAAAAGTGAACAGGTATAATTTTTCTCTAAGTTATATGGAATTCTCTTTTCCCTTTTAGAAGCAATAGTTTGGTTTATTTGGAGTTGAGAAGAAAAGCATTCTGGATTTTAATAGGTGGGAATACAATACTACAAAGTATTCTGTTGGAAGTTTTAGGTCAAATTTATCAAAACTCTTATTGGTCAAAAAAAAATCCATTTTTTCTATTAGAATTCTATTGCTTAGAATTACATGGTTATTAGGTGCACTGCAAGTACTCTTCATAGAGAAAAAATTCTTAGTGCTAAAAAATTTTTAGTGCGTGCATACACAATTCTATAAATATAAAGAGGGCTTCAATTATCAGGAATTATGAGAGATGTGCTTTCAGGAGGACTGTAAAGATTTATGAGGGCTGAAGAGAACGCTGAGTTATATGGAATAGGACTCATTAGATAGAGTTTCATTAGGGAGCATGAAAATAGGGATAATTCAAGGCACAGGTTTCAATGTTTTAAGCTCTTGTAAATTCTCTACTGTTACAAATTTACAACGAGTTTCTGTCATCCTTGACATAAAGAAAACAGTA